CCCATCAGTAAATGAATGGATCAAAAAATTGTGGTACATATACACAATGGAATTCTATGCAGCAGAGAGAAAGAAGCAGCTACTACCCTTTGCAACAGCATGGACGGAACTGGAAAGCATTATGCTGAGTGAAATAGGCCAGGCGTTGAAAGACAAATACCATATGATCTCACCTTTAACAGGAACCTAGACAACAAAACAAACAAGCAAGCAGAATAAAAACAAAGACACTGAAATAGAGAACAAGGGGACAGTGACCAGAGGGGAGAGGGAAGGGAATTTAAGGGGGGAAAAGGGGAGGGATTTGGAGGAACAAGTATGAAGGATACAGGGATGAGGACTGAGGGAGAGGAAATGGGAGGGAGGTGGGGAGCACGGGGCGGGGAGGGGGGCTGGGATGGGAGAAATGGTCAAAAAACTGTACTTGAAAAATAACTAAATAAAATTTAAAAATAAATAAAGAATAATTTTTGTAATGAGAAAAAAATTTAAAAAAATAAAGATTTAATTTTAGAGAGGGGAAAAGAGGGTGAAAGAGAGGGAGAGAACATCAGTGTGTGGTTGCCTCTCATGTGTCCTGGACCACAACCCAGGCATGTGCCCTAGACCTGGGAATCCAACCAGCAACCCTTTGTTTCGCAGGCTGGCTGGCACTCACCGAGCCTCACCAGCCAGGGCTAGCTTTGCTCTCTTCTATGCTTCTGTCATTGTAGGAATGAAATTTCTTTGCAGAAGTAATAAAAAGTATTTTTAAGTAAATTGAATTTATATCAACAGTTAGAGATTTAAAAAACTTATGCTTTTCCCTGGCAAGACATATATCATGTCATCATTTTGTTTAAATGCTAACTATATAGGAACAAAATACAGCTTACCACATGCCAATATTTTTTCCTCATGAATTTCTCTAATAATTTGGAGCATTTTTTTTAAAGAGGAAATATTTGGCTTGTAGGAAGCAGTGGACATCAGAGCTAGATACATAAGAAAGGAAAGTGCATGTCAAGAAATACAGATACAGTTACATGCTTGTGGGAATGAGACTTGCATCGGTCTGCAAATGCAACAATTTTGTAATGCTGTAAATATATTTACACTGCAAGTCCATCACCAGTTAAATTTTTTCTTGTTCCATTGCTTCATCAATTTCTCAGCAAAGAAATAGCTGAAATAATTTGATGGCTTATCATCTTACTATTCCACTAAACGTTCAGTGTCCCATCTTTCCACTCTGGAAGGTGTGGTGCTCCCACAGTAGGGGTTTTACAAGTGTTCAGTACCTGACATGCTCCCCAGGAGCAGAACCAGCTTGTGACTTTTTTCCAGAGTTCACATTTTGTGTCTGTGAACTGTCATTATTTAACTCAAGTGGTGTAATGTTACAAGCGTCCTGTGCATCTGATTAGGCATATAATTTTCATAACAATGTGCTGTCTTTAAGTACCCTCAGGTGTTTGCTATAGACAAAATGTAGGCACCGCAGCAGCCCTGCTGGGGGCTCATTGATGCGCTGCGTTCAGCGGCGAGAGAAGACTCAGTTATTCCTGTTGTGCCCGTTCTGTCAGCCGCCCTCCATGGGTTGAAGGTGTGTAAACTCAGCACGTCGGCCTGAGTTTATCTTTTTGACTGTCGGTAAGAGATTCCAGTAAGAGTACTCAGGTACTCTACATGTTATTGTAGCGGAATTTGTCTCCAGAGGTGTCACTGTCCCTATTTTAAAAGAAAGAACCTAAAGCTCAAAAGTACTTAGCATGGGGGGAGCAAGCAGTCTGGCAGGTGGTTAATAATAGCACACATACTGAGGGCCAGGCTACCCGGGTTTTTAATCTAGGCTCTGCCACTTACAGCTCTTGTGACCTTGGGAAAGTCTCTTAACCTCCCTAAGTCTCAGTTTCCTAATGTGTTGAAAGGTCAAGCATGTCCAGTCTTGCAGGACTGTCGTGAAGATTAAATAGATAATACATGGAAACCGCTTGGCATACAACACGTGCTCAGCAGGTAACATATTACTACTGAGTAAATCACTGAAGGCCTCTCAGACGCTAGGAAGGAACACTGGCACCCGCGCCCTAGGTCGCTGTCTCGCTCTTCCATCGCTTTCTAGCCAATGAAGCCATGTGTGTGAGAGTGAGTAGAGTTATCATAGCTCCTAGTAATTTTAAGAAGGGAGAGGTAGTCGGTGTATCAGGAAAGAGAGGTCAAACTTCATAGAAGGCGTAAAGTACATAGTTTGGGTTGAGAAGCAGGACATGAAATAAGTTTCCTAAAAAGTCACATTAGTATTCTTTTAGATGAGAATAAGAAAGGGAGTTCACCCTTCCTGGACTCATCTTTGCACAATATTTACTTAAATCCTTTACTGATTGTTAGCCTTAAACATGAGAATAACAGAAAAACTTGGAAGAATCCTCCAGTGATCCTTCCTCACTTGCCACTTTCTCTACTTTAGTAGTAGTTGTACATATTAAATATTATCCTTCCAATATTTAGAAGTGGTAGGCACTGTCGTTTAGAGTTTCTTCTTTTTATTTTTTCTTTCTTTCAAGTTCAATACTCTAATTAAATCTAATTCTCGTACTTAATATTTTTGACATTCTTTTCTAGTTCTTTGTTTCCATAGCTTAGACTCCTTCCTTAAAGGCGGTCTGTCTAATGTCTAATTAAATTGGCTAATATCCCCAATGTAAGGCCAGAAACGAACTATAAATTACTCTTGAGATGAATGGTCTCTTTTATTTCTTATTCATCTCCTCAGTGGCCCAATATCTGACATTAGTTCCATTGGTTAAAATTAAAAGATTCCTAAGAAGATAATTTAGACAGTTTCAGTTTGACACTATTAATAGCCACTTTTAAGGTTACTTTGCTGGTTTTATAACATAAGGGTTTTGGTTTTATTAATTTAATGGCAAATCCTTCTGATATTTGGCATAACTCTTAACTTGTGCTGCAATGCATACTGGAGATTTTGGAAAAGTAGTGGACTGCTGTTAACCCTGGCACCGTGAGACTGTAGTGCACTCAAGCAAATGTGGCCATTGGAAAGCAAGCAGCAAAAGTGAACTTACAGAACAGAAAGGGAGAAAAGGCTTTTCTCTCTTCTGCTTTTCAACAAGAAATGATTAAAAATTTCCTTTGGTCTTAACTGTTAGATCAATTAATTTACCTCAAGGTGTTTTTTTTCTTTCTTCTGGCCCAAGGAAATCTGTTCTGTGGCCTTTTGAAATTGTTCTATTCAGAGGCCAAACTTTTGGCCTCTTCTTTTAAGGAGACATGTTTCAAGTTTTGGAAAGGCGATAACTTGGCATAAGATTATCGCCACATGACACGTGCACTTGATAATTTGCCAGAAAGTACATTTCAAACAAGAAAAGGTTGTCTATGTGATGCTTTGCTCAGACTGAGAGGAAGTCTGGTTGTTAATAAGTCTCCAGTTTTTCACCAAGCCTCATCATCTTTCTCAAATAAAACTCTAATGAAATAAGTCTTAAAAGTAATGTCAGAGTTAGTTTTATTTAATGGTTTCTCTGATTTAAATATCACAGCATTTAGAGAACAGAAAAATGGGAAGAAGACATTATGGCTGTATTCAAAAGGTTATACTTAATAGCCTATAAGCTCTGGGAAATACAGCTGATCATTGAAGCTCCTGTTTATTGAATGGTTGAGCTGCTGTATTCCAGGAACTTCACATATATTTCCATTATTCTTCACAGTCCCTCAGGATGGGTACATTAAAAAAAATCCTCACCCAAGGATATGTTTTATTGATTTTAGAGAAAGAGGCAGAGGGCAGGAGAGAGAGAGAAATATTAATCATTTATCTCCTGTATGTGCCCTGACTGGGGGGTTGAACCCATAACCTAGGTATGTGCCCTGACCAGGAATCAAACCTGCAACTTTTGGTCTACAGGAAACACTCTACCCAATTGAGCCACCTGCCTAGGGTGCAGGATGGTTTTTGCTTGTTCTTTCTGCTACCACTTTACCTATCAGGAGACAGGCTGTAAGAGTTCACACATTAAATGTCCAAGCTAAGATTTGAACTTAACTCTGTGAGATACCAACACTCACATGCTTTAAAATAAGATAATGTTTGAGAGTGCTTGGAAAAATTCTAAGTAACTAAATGCTGGTTATTTCTGTTCAGCCATGCTGCCCCACAGACTTAAATACACACAAAGAGAAAGAGAGATGGGAAGAGAGAAGAGGAGAGAGAGCATTAACAATATGCCACTTCTGAGAGTAAAGCATCCCATAATGCCATTGGCATTTCTTTCATGTGTATCATCCACAAACAGAAGATAGTAATGACCATCTCCAGAGAAGTCACTCCATAGGATGCCTGATACTTAGGATTAACCATAAAAAGTTAATGTGCGATCCTTTTTGTGGAAAACCTCAACACATTCCAGTGGGACAAAAAATGTAGACTTGAGCAAATGGAAGATACATGTTCTTGAATAGAATGTACAACATCATAAACATGATAACTCATAATGAGTTAATTTATAGATTTCACTTGCACCTAATAATAATACTGTTTTTTACCCTAAAACTAGACAAGACGGTCTAAACATAATGGAAATATATTTCTTAATAAGGTGTGTGGTTGATTCTTTCCCCTCACCACCACTAGTTCATGGATGTTTAGATAAGTACACCGAGGTACTAAAATCATTTTTTTATTGGTAATGTTCTGATGAACCTTACTCTCATAAGTAGGTAGGAATGGCAGGAGTATTCATAGCAGCACCATGCAGTTCTACGCAACTTCTAAGTTACATGCCAAAAATAATATAGGGAACTCATCAAATATTATTTGTAGGAATCTGTCATCTTGAGTTCAAAAATCACCCACTGGCAGAGGATTACTTACTGTCATGACAGTATTTCTTAGGTTTCTCTGTCTGGTATATAGAGGTTTTCCATCATAGCCTTTGGAAACTCCGTGTTTTTAAAGCTACTTACCATGTCATTGTTTCTCCCTTTTTCCACAGTTGCATTAAAATCCTCCTCAGCCAGCAGAAGTGGAGTCAAGGATAACAGTGGAACCGAATTTGGGAACGGTCTGAACTTCCATGAAGGAGAATTCTTGTTACAGGTACATATTAGTACATGTAGTTCCTTATGATTAGGAAAACACCTGTAAATGGAGAATTCACCCATCAGTCAGTGAATTGTTTCCAATGTGTCTGGAGTTAGAAGTCATCCACACGCCACAGTCATCGGTGCGGCACTCGCATGTAAGGCTGTACACTGTGTTTGTGCAGTGTGACTATGTTTGTGCACTGTGTTTAAATCAGCCGGTTAATGAAGACTGTGTTACCAGTAAAAGTGACAGCCTTAATTGAAGTAAATGTGTATGAGTGACAGTATTGTTAGTCACATGACTGATTTTAGAGCTTCTTCTCTTGTAGGCCCTGAACGGCTTTGTGTTGGTCGTCACTACAGATGCTGTGGTCTTCTATGCTTCTTCTACTATACAAGATTATCTGGGGTTTCAGCAGGTAAATATGGCATTCTTAGGTCATTAATTTTCTTAAAAATTAGCTTTCTACTTTTTAAGTATCTTATACTTTAGGGGTATAATTTGTATATATAAAATATCAATTAAAATATGTGCTGTAGAATAAAAATTATGTATTTTCAGCTAACATGTTTTTATATCATTAATTTACTACATTAAAATTTCCATAAGTGTGTATGAGACTCATGGATACCATGTTTCCTCTTTCACTTATTGAGGAACACTCATATAAATGAAACGCTCAGGTAGGGACCAGCCAGGGTTCTGAATGAGGGCAGGCAAGAGGGTATTTGCCACCTAGTTAGTGTGGATACTGGCAGACACACGGCAACTATGAAATGAGTAAGGTGATTTGTAAAGGTACAAGCAGAATAGCATGGCTGATACCTTTACTTCTGATTTACGGGGCTTAGGGAAGCTTTCCAGAAGGAGGTGGTATTTAAGCTAACTTAAAGAAAATGTAGGATTCAGATGGGTGGCCAGTTGTGCAGAGACACAGGGAAGAAAAGGCAGAAGGACTGTAAGCAGTAGACTAGAAGTCCTTAAAGGAGGTAAATGTGTTCGGTTCATTCAATGTTACTGAATGAATAATGAAGAGGTGGAGTGGCAGGTAAGGTGTTTGGTATATTGGAGGGAAATGAATATAACACGTGATTTGAGCACAGTTAGCAAGTATACCTGAATGGTAGCTATAGTTATGCAGCAGTAGTTCCTAAATTTTCACCTGCATAAGACTCACCTGAATAACTTGATAAAAATATATATCTTTAGACCCCAAAACCTGGTATTCTGATTCAGCAGATCCCAGTAGGGCCCATGAAATTTCATTTCTGACAAGCTCACAGGTGGTACCAAGGCTGGTGGCGGGGGGCACTGTTTATACTGCCATATAAACTGACAGTGAAGCCGTGGTCTATACACAGTGCAAAGCACTGAAGGGGTGTGCTAAGGGAAGGTGTGTGTTCCAGTCTGTGTTTCAGGTGATAACTCTGGCAGTTGTGTTAAAGACAGTATAATGCTGGAAGATCAAGTTTGTAGGGAGATTTTCTCTAGGTAGCTGAAGTAGTGGAGTCTGGCTGCTACCCCAGTTTACGAAGGTATGCTTGAAGATAATTTTGCTGACCCAGAGGTAGAATTGTTTTCAGACTTTTTAAATTACAAAGAAAATGCACTAATGTTCCTGAAAAGGCTTGTTTGAAACTTAACTGCCTAGTTTTCTTAGTTATTATTTGATAATGTGATTCCTAACCATTAAGAAATCAGAGATCAGCTATTTCCCACTCTGTATTTTCCTCACAGGTACACACTGGCATAGATGTTATTTAAGAAAACATTTGTGTCTGACATGGGTTGTGGTTCAGGCAGCATTTAACTGCAAGTTGTCACTCCGTAATGGGTAATGACGATGGCATGGTGTATCATCCATTCTTTTGATGCCCTTACTGCAGTGAAATGCAGTAAAAAATGTTAGAAAAATGCTGATTTAAGGGTTAAGGGTTAGAGCTCAGCACTGTAATAAATGCTAAGAAGCAAGAGGTAGGGGAAGGATTCTGACCTGGTGAAGGTATAACCCTGACTCTTCTGGAGTCCGCTTGGAGGGATTCAATGTAAAGAAATTTGTTAGAGAACAGTGAAGAAAATATATAATGAATACTATTAAGTTTACGGAAGTCTGCAGGGTGTTCAGATGAGGTTTTTGTGAAAACATACTTAAAAGATGAAAATGGGATAAAAGTAATCAGAACTTAATGTGTTGCAGTTAAAGAGGGGAGAGGTGGCTTCTTTGGCAAACAGTCATGGAGTTTGGGGCTTACCAAGGCCAGCGCTAGCCCCTCTCTAGTTTCTCCTGTCTGGGGTTTCCGGAGAGTGCCGCGATCCATTTGATGTACTCGTCACCACTGACTAATCTAGCTGGGTTCTGAGATTACTTTAATAAATAATATTTAACTTCAAGTCAGTATTTTAGTTTTATTCCCTTGTGTGTTTTTCCTTAGTCCGATGTCATACATCAGAGTGTGTATGAACTGATCCATACTGAAGACCGAGCTGAATTTCAGCGGCAGCTACACTGGTCATTAAACCCTTCACCGTGCACAGACTCTGGGCAAAGAGTCGATGGTAAAAACATTTATCAAAATATAGTTGCGGGCCCTGGCCGGGTTGCTCGGTTGGTTAGCGCATACACCAAGGTTGTGGGTTCAATTCCCCCATCCGGACTCATACAAGGATCAACCAATGAATGCATAAATAAGTGGAACATCATAGCAGTGTTTTTCTCTCTCTCTGCCTTAAAGTCAATAAATAAATATTTAAAAAATATAGGTTGGGTATTTTTAATATAATTTTGCAAATGGAGGCAGCAGACCTCTACAGGCATAGACCTCCTTGGTGACGGTGGGAATGTGGTAGGAGCCCATGTGTCTGTAGCTGTAGGTCACAGAGAGGCTGGTGAACTAAGGAATACTGTCTTCTTCAAAAAGGAATGGTTTTATTATTTTCCTTTTCTCTTAATTTTATAATGATTTTATTTGACATTAATAAAAAGTGAATAAATCTAAGGAATATTGTAGCAGCCATTGACGACTGTCAAGCAAGAAAGTGTTGCCATGTTCAGTGATCTACTTTATAAAACTACTTGCACTGTGCTACTGTGGTGTTAGGAAGGACTGTGTGCAAGGTTGATTGATACTGGAGGTATGTAAATTGTTCTGTGCTTAAAAGGCATAAAATAAAAAAGCAAAGTAGCATATACAAGTATTATAAAAAACTTTAATCAATGTAGTGTTTTCAGAAGTTCATGGAAATATTAAAAAGAAAAAAATGTGCAAAATGTGGACATTGTTGGCACTTATAGCTCAATAGAAATAAAACTGAACAGGTAAAGTTCTGTGACATACAAGTGATACTCAGTGAGTCTTAGTTTCTTTTCATAGCTCCTCTTCTGAAAATCATTATCTTTTTGTATCTTGAATTATAGACTCCAATTTAGAAACACAAATTTCAACTATTCAAACACCATATTTTTGGACTATAAGATGCACCCCCCCCCAAATTTGGGAGGAATAATGGTTGTTAATGCAGTTGTTGAGTTCTGTTCACATTTACATTGGTGAAATATTGTGTTATGTTATTAAATATTTTACCACATTTTTTGCTTCATAATTTTTTTCCTATTTTCCTCCTTTAAAACCTAGGTACATCATATGGTCCAAAAATATGGTAATTTTCCAGCAAAATGGAAAGTAAATGTGTGTTGCTGTTGTTTCTACAGAAGCTAATGGCCTCCCACGGCCGGCAGGCTACCTTAACCCAGACCAGCTCCCCGTAGAAAACTCTGCATTCATGGAGAGGTGCTTCGCCTGCCGCCTGCGGTGCCTGCTGGACAACTCCTCTGGCTTTCTGGTGAGGCGCACGCTCTGGGGGCCCGGCCTTTCCTGTCGATTTAGAGAACTAAAATAGATGACACGAAACCAGTATTCTGTGGTTACATTTGAGTTCGGTTTTAAAAATCTCCTTCATCAAGTACCTTTATAAAGGAAAATATCTTTTAAAATACTATTTGTTTTCTTTTTTTTTCTCCCCACCTCCCTCCCATTTCCACCCCCCCAGTTGTTGTCCATGTGTCCTTTATACTAGTTCCTGTAAATCCTTCCCCTTTTTCTCCTGAAATTCCCTCCCCTCTAGTCACTGTCCCCCTGTTCTCTATTTCAGTGTCTTTGTTTTTGTTTTGCTTGCTTGTTTCGTTGTTTAGCTTCCTGTTAAAGGTGAGATCATATGGTATTTGTCTTTCAACGCCTGGCTTATTTCACTGAGCATAATACTTTCCAGTTCCATCCATGCTGTTGCAAAGGGTAGGAGCTCCTTCTTTCCTTCTGCTGCATAGTATTCCATTGTGTAAATGTACCATAGTTTTTGGATCCATTCATTTACTGATGGGCACCTAGGTTGCTTCCAACTCTTGGCTATTGTAAATTGTGCTGCTATGAACATTGGGGTGCATAGGTTCTTTTGGATTAGTGTTTCAGGGTTCTTAGGATATAATCCCAGCAGTGGAATTGCTGGGTCAAAAGACAGGTCCATTTTGAGTTTTTTCGATTTTCGAATGTTTTTTTTGGCTGGCCTTTCCAAAACCTTGTCCTTTAGGTTGCAGTTCCAAAGATCAAGGGAAGGGACATAGAACCTTGTATGTTGCCTACTGTTAGGACTTCTTAGGTGTATGACAGAGAACTGTGCACCCTGACTTTAATAACAGAATGCTTACCCTCTTCGGATGTAGTGCCAGCTAGACAGAGCCATTATCCTGGCATTTTCCACATGGCCAGAATGACTGCCATGTAGGAAAATGGCTGTACATTCATGGTTGTAGGCTCAGGCTGTGGTGGGAGATGCTCTTGTGCGGTCTGAACACCTGGGTAGGATAACCCTGGAGCGGTTTAGGCAGGTACTGAGGGTGCAGATGGTCTGTCCTCTGTCGTCTGTACCCTTAAGATAGCATCCCCACCACCACCAAAAAAAGGGCTCAAATAAGTTTGGGAGACAACCCTCAAATTTAAATGGGTTTTCTTACTGTAGGACTTCTCAGAACCTTTCCAAAAGGGGCCTGTTATCCTTTGATCCCCAGGGGAGAGGATCATTGAGCCCTTGGTTCTTAAAAGCCATTCATCTTAAGGCTGTTCATCAAAATGCAGTATTCAGAGTATTAGGCTGCCCTCACACCTGGAAAAGGCATGGGAATCTTTGTCAAACCTTGCCCTGCTTTTTATTTAGAAAATGGAGGGTAGCATAGCTATCCCAGAGTGTACCCCACCATCCCCCCAAAAAGATAGCATACTCAACCAGCACAGAAGAAAGAGATCACAAGGCATATTGTATATTATGTTTGTGAATTATCAGGAATTTGAAACAGATAATCAAATCTTAAACATTAGCAAACATGGTTCTTGTTCGTATGTTTATTTGTGAAGATAATTTTGCTGACCCAAGGTTAGAATTGCTTTGAGTTTGATCATTAATACTGAAGAAGACTATTAGTGTGTATTTTCTGAGATGGAATCTGAGGATAATTGGGTCTTTTCTTTCTTGTGCTGTTATCGTACTGATAGTATTACCCCTCGTCCTGGTTATTACTGTTTTAAACAACTAAGCTAATCATGCTCACGCTTAAATTGTCTTCATTTCCTCTGTCTTCTAAAATTATTATCTTTAATAGAAATCTGCATCATAAATAGAAATATGATTTCATGATGAGTCATTTTAATGTTTCAATAAAATTGTATTTTTATATGAAAGATTACCATGAGCTATGAAATAGACCGTGAGCTGTGGAACGTAGCTCACGTGTGTTTGAAAATCCATGTGTACTCAATGACTATCACTGTTCAGTCAGGAAATACAAATTGCATGCACAGTTTGCAAGGAGCTCTGCCAGGTGTCAGTGATGGGGCACTGGCGAACTGAGAAAACGACACAGGTATTCCAGTTCTGACCACTAAAAAGCCAGCAGCGGCTTGCTTCTCCCTTTCGTAGTTTTCGTACTGTTTCAGGATCTTTTTAATGGGCTTCCTGTGGAGAAAGGAATGAAAGAAAGCAGTTTCACACTCAAGAACCTGGGATGTGCCCAGGACTGAGTCTTTTAAAAAGGAACAATTTTTGAACTTAATTTTAATGAACTGTTCTTGATTTTTTAAGGCAATGAATTTCCAAGGGCGGTTAAAGTATCTTCATGGCCAGAACAAGAAAGCAAAAGATGGAACAGTGCTTCCCCCTCAGTTAGCTCTGTTTGCACTAGCTACTCCACTTCAGCCACCGTCTATACTTGAAATCCGAACCAAAAACTTCATCTTTAGAACAAAACACAAACTAGACTTCACACCTATTGGTGTGGATTCCAAGTAAGTAAAACTTTTTCAGCTTTATTTCATCAAATTCATATATTATACAATGTAGTTAGTTTCTCTTAGTATGTCGAATATATAGTGTAGATTATAATAGTGTATATTACTATTTTATACTACTCAGTATAGTCTTTCTTTTAAAATAATTTATCAGGCTCACAAATCACCTTATTACAATTTTTTACAATACTTGCCCCAGTTTCCATATCATAAAGATGACGTGCTTAATTAGTAAGATTATTTTTTTAACAGTTTTAAATTGTACAAATTTTATTTGACTTTCAGCCCTCAGAATTTTAGTAACTTTCAGAGAATTATGGAGAATTATATTAAGCATTCATTATTATAACAAAACATCATTGCTTTTCTAGTTTCTAATATGGAAATTCAGAGAGGTTTGAAAAACATTGTCCTGCATAAATGGAGCACAAGCATTCTAAATTTTTATTAACAATTTTGTTGTGCTTACATAAGCTGTTCTGTTTGAGTTATCTTTAGCCATACTAACTTCATGGTCCTTATTCAGGAGAAGAAAATAGTCTAAAACTGAAATTTGCAGCCATAAGCAAAAGGGAGCAGTTATATAGATTTGGTTAATTTTTTTTACCTGCTAATGTAAAATTCTAAATATCAAAAAAAAAAAAACCCATTGCAGAAAATAGCATGTAACAGATGAATTTATGTTGGTTACTGCATTTGTTAAATTTTAATTTCATTTTTTTTAAACAGAGGAAAAGTTGTTTTAGGCTACACTGAAGCAGAGCTGTGCATGCGAGGGTCCGGGTATCAGTTTGTTCATGCTGCCGACTTTCTCTACCTTGCGGAGTACCACATCCGGAGTAAGTTCTCGGTGCCTGTGCTGCAGGGTGTGTTTCAGAGGGTTACAGAACGGGCCGTGTTTAAGATGTTAAACACAGTCATCTCCTACCCAGTGCCACGCCATTACGGCAAACCCAAGTTACTCTCTTTAACTCCACTACAGCAGCCACAGACAGTAGTTTAATGATGATGTAAATGATCGTTTCATACCATGTTTTGCTCAGGAATTTTTTAATGGTGTCATTATTCCTTCATAAATTTAAATTGTTATAGATTATATTTAAAAAAAATATTAAGCTGTGGGAAACACTCCCTATTTAAAATTAAAACAATTTTTATCTTTTTCACCCCAAACTATACTCTCTATTATTTCATGCATTACTAGAATTGTCTGTCCTTTAGTCTTCCCCTTAACGTTTTAAACAAGTTTAGTGTGAGGTAACAGCTCCGAAGAACTATTTCCATGTATTTTGATAGTTTTAAAAAGTTGTCAAGACATTTGTTATCTTTGGTGATAAATGAAATATATCTGGAGATAAGGGAGGTTTTCTTTTAGAGATTTTCTTTAATATGTGGACCTGGAGTTTGATTTATTATTTTTCTATTTTATTTCAGTGATTAAGACCGGGGAGAGCGGCTTGGTGGTGTTCCGGTTGCTCACCAAAGGCAATCAGTGGACCTGGGTGCAGTCGAACGCACGCCTGGTTTACAAAAATGGGAGGCCGGACTACATCATCGCGACCCAGAGGCCACTGACGTAAGCACAGACTTAGAATGTTTGTTGTCACTGTTTTTTATGGTGATGACATTTTGGCTTATAAATGCTTCTTCTTGAATACTTAAATTCTAAGAGCGTTTACTGTGCAAATAAAAATCAAAAGGTACATGTATAAAGGACCCGTGGACAAAGGTGGACAAAGACAACAGGGGGAGAGTGGTGGGGGGGAGTATTCAGTTACAGTGGGTTCAGCTGTAATTGAACAACAATAAAAATATGGATATACAAAATTGAAAAGTTAAAGTTGTATAGAAAGAAGACATCAGCGAAGGACATTGAGAAGTTAGAATTGACACTGTACTGAACAACTAATGTGTAGAATCGTGGGAGGAGAACAATTGAGGGAATCAAAGGAATAATTCAGGGTTTTATCCTGGGTATGTATGCAGGATAAATGAAAACTAGTGTCATCTGTAAAATAAGAATATAACAATGCTTTGCTTATTAGCATTTGTTTTCTAAGCATGCAGTGATTTTTAAGTTTTATATGTTCTGGAAATGAGTATTTTGTTAAACACTTGCATTGTAAATTTTCTCCAGAGCATTGATTTTTGTATGTGTCTTCAGCAAGGATCAAGATCACTTTTTCCCCCTTGTACTTACTGAAGCCCTTTAGTGTTTAGGAAGCAGTGCCATAACTTATAGTGATGGAAAGTTTTAGTTTTGTGTTTATATTTTAGGATATAGTAGCAAATTTTTGCAGGGGTAATCATAAACATCCCAAATCATACATGGTGAGTGTATTAATGAATTGGGCTGCATTTTTTAGATTATAATGAAGTTTGCTATTTTACCAACTTAAAAAAACTTGGATGTGTATATCCCTTTGACCAGTAACGTTTATTGAAAGATAACTTACTGAAAAGGCACCTTTTCTCTGCTGCACTGCCTTTTGACTAGACAGTGAGTCTGTGGTTCTGTTTCGGGGCTCTGTTACGTTCCATTGGTCTGGTCTCTTTTTGCACTAATAGCACATTGCTTTAGTTGTTCTGTAACAAGCCTTGGTGGCTGAGTGTATGTCCTCCATTTTGTTGTTCTCTATCAAGATTGCCTTGGCTCTTCTTGACCCCTTTATACTTTCACACACATTTTAGAAATCAGTTGTCAATTCTCACCAGAAAATCAGGGTGTTCAAACTTTTGGCATCTCCGGGCCACACTGGAAGAAGAGTTGTCTTGTGACATTGTGACACATAATCACACACAAAAAAATCTTATGTTTTAAGTAAATTTAGGATTTTGCTTTGGGCTGCCATTCATAGCCATGGTTGGCTACATGCGGTCCACAGGTTGGACACCCCTAAAGAGATCACACTGTAATCCCAAAATACCAGATCTGTACAGGGGATTACAATGAAACTATAGCTCATTTTGGGAGAGTTCACATCTTTATGATACTTAACATTCCAACCTGTGAACATGCTAAAAGAATGTGTGTGTCTCTGTACTTGTACTTAGGGGTACACAGTTATGTATTATGTCTTTATCTCAGTAATGATTGTGCTTTTCTCACACGAGTCTTGTACATCTTTCATTTTATTCCTAGATATTTGATGTTTTGTAATGCTGGGTTAAATGTGTATGTATATGTACACATACAATTTTCAGATTGTGAATTATGTCTGCCTGTATAGTGTCTAAGTTTCGCATCTTATTTAGAGGTACCTGTCCTACATTCTTACGTGGAATTTTTTGGGGGGCTGAAGGATGTCAGGTAGGGACATAACCTGAGTGTGGAATTAGTGATTATACTGTATTTGGACAAATTCTAAATCATTTGTCCAAAAAACAGTTTTATGGCACCAATCATGTCAAAATAATGTTATTGTGATTTTAGAGATGAAGAAGGAACAGAGCATCTAAGAAAACGAACTTTGAAGTTGCCTTTTATGTTTGCCACGGGAGAAGCTGTGTTGTATGAGATAAATAACCCCTTTCCTCCCGTGATGGATCCCTTACCAGTAAGGCCTAAAAATATTGAGAGTGGAAAAGATTCTGTTACTGAGTCAGCTTTACATAAGAATTCCCTCTGGACTTCCCTTATGCAACAAGATGAGTCTGTTTATCTCTCTCCTGCTGCAAGTAGCGCACCTTTGGACAGAGATTTTCTTAATGAATATGTGGACAAAGGCAGTAGTTGGCAAGACAGCATTGCCCCATTGGGAAATGGCATCCTGAAACATGAGCAAATTGGTCAGCCTCAGGAAATGAACATGACACTCTCTGAAGGCCCAGTAGGGCTCGTCTCAGACAATAAAAATAATGATTTGTACAGCATTATGAAACACTTAGGTATTGATTTTGAAGATATTAAACATATGCAACAGAATGAGGAATTTTTCAGAACTGACTTTTCTGGTGAGGATGATTTCCGAGACATTGACATAACAGATGAAATCCTGACGTTCGTCCAAGATTCTTTAGATAAGTCCACCTTCGTGTGTCCAGGCTACCAGCAGCAACCACCCACGGCACTGAGCTCAAGCTGTATGGTCCAGGAGCAACTGCAGTTGGAGCAACAGCAGCTACAGCCCCACCCAAGGCCCCCCGCCATGGAGCAGCAGCAGCTGTGCCAGAAAATGAAGCACATGCAAGTCAATGGCATGTTCACCAATTGGAGCTCTAACCAGCCCATGCCTTTTAGTTGTCCTCAGCAAGACCAACAACAGTATGGTGTCTTTTCAGACTTACCTGGGACCAGTCAAGAGTTTCCCTACAAATCCGAGATTGAGACTGTGCCTTACACACAGAACTTTATTCCCTGTAACCAGTCTGTGTTACCTCAACAGGGGACGCAGCTAGACTTTCCCATAGGGAATTTTGAACCATCCGCATACCCCACTACTACTACTAATTTAGGAGGTTTTGTCCCATGTTTACAAGTTTCGGAAAACCAAAAAAAGCATGGGCTACATCCACAGGCAAGCCTAGTAACCCCGCAGACGTGTTATTCCGGGGCTGTGTCGATGTACCCGTGTCAGCCGGAACCTCAGCAGCGCCATGTGGCCCAGATGCAGAACAGTGCAGCAGTGCCAAACACGCGGGCGTTTTTAACCGAGGTAAGGGTTTTATCTAAATCAGCCCTTTCAGTGATTCTTCTTTATTAGAAATACACAAATTATACATCATTGATATCAGGAGTGATTTCATGTCTTACCTATAGCATTTCTATCAGAGAACATTTCTAATTTTTTTAATAAGCCAGTACTTTTCCAGTATGTTACCAATATATTGTGTTTACCCGAATTGCAAAGGAGAAAGAAATCAAGGGCCAAGGTGAATGAACATGCCTTAAGTTACTAGGTGAAATTAGTTAAAAGTACAGTGTTTACAGATTTGGGGTTATCTTTCTTGATTCTTTAGAATTGCATGCCTTTTAAAAATTCAAACTTGAAAAATTTATTTAAATTTTCAAAATTTTCTCAGTGTTTTAATGTATCGTTGAAATTTGAAGGTATGTGTCTTTGCCCCAGATGAGCCCTAGGCTCCTTAGCTGCCACACCCTCCTTTTATCCTTTAAGGTGAGATATTTTTTGCCGGCCTTAAAAAAGGGGTAACTCCACTGGCTTTCCATCATGGGACTTGAGCTTGACATTGTATTTTGTTGCTTAAATGTGTCATCGGAACCCTTCTAGCAGCACTCACACTTTAAATCAAAAAGTACTGTAATAAAGAGTTAACGTGATTGTACCTGCTCTCTTTGGCTGTCCAGGGATATGGCCTCTTCACACTGGTGCCATCCATTAGAAAGCGGTTTATTTTACAACGCGTATTAGTTTTGAAGAAAACCCTGACTTAGGTTCATTGGTCTCTGTACTGTGTATTGAGGTATAGTAATGTAACAGTGTTACCGGAGTCTTTAACCCCATTTATGTTTTCTGTTGTTTTTTCACCTGATTTGGTCTGATTATAGAAAATAATAGCTTTCTAATAGAAAAGAGCACTGAAGGCTTTTCTTATTCCTGACACATTTTATTTATCTTAGACTATAACTGAATATTACATTTTATTTCACAACACTGCCATAAAGTTAAGCATGGGTAGGTAGGTACCTTAACTCATGTATACTATACCCTTGAGTGTATTGGGGAGAACTTCCTTATGTAACACTACATTTTGAACTGGGCTTTCATTGTCTCGTGAGATCTTTACAGTGATCCCCCTCCCCTATTTTGTGTTACTTCTTTATGAATAACGAGAATTCTGTAGACCTGTAACTTCCCTGCCTCTGCAGAGTAGCCACCTCGCAGGTGGCTAGTCCCGGATGAGATGTGGTGTAAAATATATGCTAGTTTTGGAGATTTAATTTGAAAAAAACAAAATCTCTTTTTTGTTGACATTATGTTGAAATGATCAATTTCAGCTGTGTTAAGTAAAATATATTAAAATTACATCTATGGCTCACACATTTCTGTTGAACAGCACTGCTCTAGACAATGTAACGAGAAATGCTGGCATATTTATGACTGAGAGTAATGTATTTATTTATTACTTTCCATTTGGAGACATGACAAAGTTGTCATTCATGGGAGATCTAGATTATGTGGCTTTTACTATATATGTAGCATATGTTTTGGAAGATCTTTGATGTAATTGGTCTTTTGAGCACTGAGGCTGTTACATAAGCTTTAGAAAAGTAGGTTTTATTGGAGGGAATTAAGGGCATGATTTGAATCTGTGTGAGAGTTTTTGTAACTCCCTAACCGTATTCTGTCTGAACCATCTGTAAAGCCTCTAACCCCCTGACCCCGCAGCACTCTGTGGCCTGCCTTTGTTTCCCCCTCAGAAGCAGTTAGAAAAGCCAGGCTGATTTCATTATAAGAAAGCTTTTACTAAAACTTGATTCTGTAATCAGGGTGGTAATTATAGTGGTACTTAAGAAGAAGAAGTACAGTAAAAATAAGAAAATGGTTTCGGAAATCATACTCATGGTATAATATTTTTAGGAATAGTAGGAAACCTCTAACAAATCAGAACTAGCCTGGTTTTGGAAAAATCTTGTCATCTGCAGTTCCAGTGTAGTAACTTCAAATGCAATAAATCCCCTGGTTCCCAGAATTAGACCGTGATGAAATCTGGTCAGAGCAGACTTACTGCAGAGGACGGATGCGGGGGAGGATAGATCGATGGATGGTTGTATGGACGTTCACACGGTTATACACACTGCGTGCCGCACACTCACAGCTGTGTGAACCTGCTTTTGTCCCGCCCTGTGTTACTGTAATTTACGACTGCTCCAATACTCTCCTGATACATGGAACGCCAAATTGGAAGTGGAACAGTTAATCATCCATCTGTATTATCAGTTGGAGGAACCAGAAGGTTATTAACATGCTAATATATACATGCTCAGTATGTTTTCATTGCATGATTTAAAATTTAGCAGCAATAAAGTAATTTGAAGTTTAACATCACGTAGCATGAAGATTTTAAAAATACATTTTAATATATTATTTAAGGGGTTAAGATGCTTAAAGATCCGTTCTAATCATTGCATTGCTATTTTTGTTTTCAGTTTCAAAATGGAGTTTTTAATGAAATCTATCCAGGCGAATTAAGTGCTACAAATAACACTCAGACGGCCACACACCTCCAGTCCCTTCATCATCTGTCAGAAGCCAGACCTTTCGCTGATTTGACATCTACTAGATTCCTGTAATTCCAAGACCAATTTTTACCTTGGATTTGGTTTAAATTAGTTTGTGGAAGGTCACGGGTACTAAAACTGTCAGTGTTCGCCATCAGCAAGTCCACATGGAGACACTGAGGGGTGGTGGTCCCACTGTTAATACCAAGCCCCACTCTAGTATTTTTCAAAGAGGAGTTAAAAACATACCACACTTACACACCTACCACAGTCATTCAAACAGAAAGGGTCCTGCTGCAGAATGGTGAGAGATGCCACCTACGTTCACATTCTGAGTGCCACAAACTAAACAAAATTGATTCAGGGGCAGGTTAAGAAAATGTTCTCTATTGAAATTACTTCCGTCAGAATAAAAAAATTCTTTGAGCTTTGCACTTGTGACTCCTTCGTTCTCCAAGTACATCTGGTAGTTACCAAAGTTAACTATTGCCCATATTCTTAGGTTCTAGGAATGTTAAGATAAGTGGTTTGGTGGTATTTTTCTTTTTAATCCTCACCCAAGGATATGTTTATTGACTTCAGGAGAGAGTGAAATGTCAATTGGTTGCCTCCCATACATGCTCTGGGGATGGAACCCCCATTCAAGGTGTGTGCCCTGACTGGGAATCGAACCTTTGGTGAATGGAACAAGGCTCCAACCCAGTGACCCAGCCAGGGCAGTTTGGTGCTTTTGTAGAAAGATAATCTCAATGATTTCCTTCCTCATTGCTAATGTTAAGTGCCTCACAGTTTTTTCTTGCTATAACACTGTAAGATGTACACTTTATATAAATCACACTTTAAAAAAAATTAACATTCTACACACAAATATTATTTACATTTCTTAAATTCAGTCATTTTTATTAATCTAGGCATGTTTTAACTGCACTACTCACCCACCTTCTTCAGGTAAAAAAACGATTGATAAGATTATTATATAATCTAGTTGTTTCTAGACTTTAAATGTTGCTATGTGCCTTACATTGAAAAATTTTAAAGTAAAATGTCTTTTCAAATTATTTCTTTATTATATAAACATTAAGACAGCAGCACTAAAATTTCAACAGTGTGTTCAGAGGAAAGAGATACATGGCCGTTTACCTCCACCCTGGTCATTGTGTTGTGTGTGAAAAACCTGCTGTTGTAAAGACAAGCTCGCTTATTAATCTGTAATGAAGAGGAAGAGTTGTGTTTCTGGGTCATTCATTAAAACAAACCACCCATTTCACTGTGTAAACACGTTTTACAAACTGTTTTACATCGGTAATCTTTTAAGGTATGTTGACTTTATAAATTTCACTTCTTAGCCCAGTGGAAACTATTTGTTTTTCTCATATTTGAGAAGTGGTAAGACTGAATGAATATAGCAGTGTTTGGTGCAGAGTGGTGTTGTAAGTGAACAAATGGTGCATTGTATGCTTAATGAACAAAATGATTTGTAAAATATTTTGAATTTTTCATTTTAAAAATAGTCATATTTTATGTGCACATAAGTTGTCTGGGTTTTACATTTTTTATCAGTCTTAAGAAATCAAATAGTCAAGAAAAAGACAGGGGTGAAATTAATTTCAAACATTAGGTTGTTTCTATGATAGAATGACTTTAACTGTCAGTAAGATAAATCAGTCACCCTACTAACTACTGTCCTCAGGTGATTTAAAAGAAGTGCCACCATCTGCCAATCTCTTATTCAGCTGTGGCGTCTGAAGAGCACCAGGCGTGTTTTGCATGTATTATACAAAAACGTGACGGAATCCCGAACTGAGATGTAGTACTGAAATGCATTTTTCTTTTTTTTAATAAGTTACTGTACATAAAAGCGGCTTCAGACAATATGGATGTCGGTTTTATGTATTTTCAGTCAAAATTTTGAATCTGTAAAATCAGTGCCAGTGTTGCAAATAATACATTTGTCTAAAACATTTCATAATTTGTTCCCAGCATGAGGTATCAGTCAAGATTTAGTTTAGACCCATGGTCTGGATTAACTCCATTTTTATATTCTAACTTTAATTAAAAGTCTTCCTCCTATAAACCATTTCTGTTAGTCTTCCCCTGTGTCACTGGATAAAGTGCTTAGTGGAAAATGGGCTTTTTAAATTGTGACTATGATGACAATCAGTTACAGACTTATCTAATTTAAAAATGAAAGCAATATTGTATATTTTTATCTCTATAACATAACTAAAGCTTATCTAAGAATAATAAAATCACATCAAACCAAATATACCTTTGTCTGCATTGCTGAGTATACCAAAACACAAAGAGAGAAAGCTTTGCTTACTTCTCTGTGGAGGAGGGATTCATTTTTAGATGGCGTGCCCTTCGGAGGACCTGGATGTGTCTGATTCACACGCTTCCTGTCCCAGGTTGTCCTCATGGTACCTGAAGATGGACTGGTGTTCTGATGTATTATAAAGCTTTCAATCACTACTATGCACAAACCTAGTGTTTTTCAGTATTAGTAATCTTTAGGTAAATGTTTTCATACCTTTTCTCTTTCCCTCGAAATGTTACTGCTTTACATATGCCATGCATACATTTTTGTTTAAAATACAATTTATAATACCTTTACTATTATCAAACAGTTGTATACAGTAATATATGTGGTAATAAAATAATCACCAAATATTAATATGTTTTAATGTAAATTCTGGTTCATATAAAGGACATTAGTATTTATAGTATAACAATGTTCAATAAAGACAGTCTATAATATTTAAGAATCTGTTAAGTCAGTAGTTCATAAATTTCTTACAAAATTGTACCCATGGATATACTGGCTTTTATCTGAATATATTAAGAAAAACATACTTCCAGTAACTTCATAGATTTAAAATGCTTCTGAAGTACACGACTCTGACCGTGACCCATGTCAGTGACATTTCCTGCTTGGATCAGAAAACACTGCCCACCACCTACACTCTCTAACATACGGACGGGATGTTCAGCCTGTGGTATCAATTTCACAACTGCTAAACACTCACCAAGAGTTCTCTAATTAAAATTGAAGTGAAATTCCTAAGAAAAACTTTTATTCTAGTAGCAATTCTTTTTATCCTTTACGATCATTATTTTTTCAACAATCTAATATAAACCTAGCAAGTTAGTGTCATACTTAATTCTAAACATTTTAGAAAAACAGAGTTTAGTGTTTTGTCAAGCAAAAATACAGATAATCATTTTTTTAATCTCTGCTTTCACTCAGATGGCTTCTGTCAGCACGCGTGACCTCGGCTCGCCCCTCCCCATCTTGCCCCAGGGGTATTAGGTATGTACAGGACTAGGTCATGCTCAGTTGTCTCCCAGTGTGTGCAGGGGAACTTTCAGTTTTACGAATAACATTGAGACTATCCAATAAAAATCCATAGCAACCTAGGCATGTCTGTGCCTTCACCTCAACCTTCCCACAGTCCTTGGTCTCAGGCTCACCTCCAGTAATACACAGGCAAGGTTCCCTCACGGTGGGACTAACACCCTCCCGTCCAGCCCTCGTTCACTTGGCATCAACATTCCCCTCATTCAGAGACTCTATCTCCTTTTCCTGTAGCCCTGGAAAAAAATTACTCCCTTCTGCATCCCTTTTCTTATTACTTCTTTACCTCCTGTCTCTAAACAACTTTTGAACTGAAATCTGGTTTTATTTTCTACCCTTCTGTACATTGTTTTGCTGATGTTTACTTAAGTCCCTTCTTACCACAGATGGATTCTCTATGGCCCTCCAACCAAATTGAATGAACTCTCAGTAACTATTGTTTTTCCCCCCCTTAGCTTCCATGACATCAGTGGTCCTGCAGCCTGTCACTCTTCTCTGTTAGCTACCCCCTCCCTGCACTGCCTCCCCCCACCTAGTAACATGCTTAGTTATGACCATTTGCAGTTCTTTATCTACAGACTGTTCCTTTGGAATCTTATCCCTTCTGGGACTACTACCTTTATGATGAATCCCCTCAAAATCTCTTGTTTCTCGCCTCTTTAAAAACATGAGATAAAAAGGTAACCTTATCTCTGATGTTTATGGAACATTCTTTTCCTTTGAAAGCAAAGCTAAGCAAAGCACAGACTCTAGTGAGACTGCAGGCTTCAACACATGTAGGATGGGAATGATTGGGAAAGTTTACTCTGAGCTCGGGTTTCCTTTACTACAAAGTAAGGATAATGCTGATACCTGCCTCACTACGTTGTTGGAATCACCGATGAATTATTTAAAAACACTTAGTGCAAAATGCCCAAAACTTAAGGAAATTTGAAGAACAAAATAAATAATGGTAGCACTGGATGATAGCCCAAATAATAAATTATCCGTAAGTTCATCTTGATAAATACATGGAAAAATGAACAGCAGATCTTCCTGCCAGAAGAGTCCCAAAGAATATTTTAGATACTCTGCCCTCCAACAGATGGAGCTCAGTAAACCTCCCTCTTGAGTGTGTCCTAGAGCCTCAGCAGCTTGTTTCCAAAAAAAATAGAACATGGGGAAAAAAAGAGAGGACGTTGTGGAAACCCAGCAGGTGCAAGTAACCAAGTGCTCAAGGGGAAGCAGTGTTACCACACACACATGATAGCATGCCCTCGCCAACGTGATTCCATGGCGAGCACACTTGAACTTGATGTGTCAAAATCATATGACTCCAGTCTAACCAGGAGGGGAGATCAGACAAACTGAGGGACACCACAGAATCACTGGGAATATTCTTTCAAGTGTCAAGGCCATGAAAAACAAGTGGAGATCCAGATACTGTCGCAGATCAGAGGAGAGCAAGGAAACATAACTAAATACAAGATGGTATCCTGCATTGTATCCTTTGTAAAAAGAAATGGATACTAGGGCAGTAACTGCAGAAATCCGAATGAAGTTTAGTTTAACAGGAATCACTAATGAATTTCCTAGTTTTGACCTGCGTATCACGCTTATATAAGATGTTAATTTACTGATGTTAACTTGAAGGGAATAAAGTCTCGGTATTTTGACAATTTTTATGTAAATCTAAAATTATTTTACAGTAGTTTCTTTAAAAGTCATTGTACATACTTTGTCCATGGATAGGGAATGTTAATATTGTTAAAATGTCCTTAATACCTAGAGTATTAAGGGCATTGTCATAATTAGAACAATTCTAAAATTTATATGAAACCACAAAGACCCCAAGTAGTCAAAACAATCTCAAGAAAGAACAAAATCAGAGGTATTGTGCTCCCTGCTGGCAAACTACACTACAAAGCTACCATAAGTAAAACAGTGTGGTACTGGCCTAAAAACAGATATATAGATCAATGGAATAGAGAGCCCAGAAGTAAATCCCTGCTTTTATGGTCAAATAATCTATGATAAAGGAGGCTGGGATATACAATGGAGTAAGAATTTTTTTTCAATAAGTGGTGTTGGCAAAACTGA